TATTATATTTCCTTATAAGCAAAAATCGCTTTGTTACTGATTTAATACTTTATAATAATGAAAAACAATTAATTTTCTGGATAACTTTATGTGATTTTTGAGCTTTTAGAAATTTTAAAAATTCGGAACTGATGGATTGTGTTTTTCTGAGCTAAAAATACTATTGTTATCAATTGAATGGCATTTGTACGCTAAATTGAATTGTTGTTTTAATAATTCAAAATTTTTTTGATCCGTGGATGGTAGATTAAAAAAACCTGATTTAAAAGCCTTTTTTCTTATTATGTTTAATTTGAAAATAAAAATATATCTTAACTTATCTAATATAATATATTATATTCATACAAGAAATTACTACATTCAATTTTCACATATTAATAAATCGATAATTTTATTGTTTCGGATTTATTTTAGTTTAACTTATACGAGATTAGTATAAATATAATGTTTTATCTCGATTTTGTTTAAACACTATAAGCTTAAAACAAATCCATCATTTATGAATTATATGTTACACCGATATATTAAATTAAAAATTAATATTAAAACGGTTTTTGTTTTTTATAATTTTGAAGCACAGTATAGTAATATGCAAAATGTAAATTTTACTCTCTTATTTATATAATATGATTCTTAATATAATACCACATACATTAAATAGTAGAATTTGATTTATTTCTTTCAAAAAGAAGTATTTTTTTTTTTTTCATAGAACTTCTTTTTTGAGAGATAAACTTTAGTCTTAAGACTAAATTATATAACTCACAAAAAATATTTGATTGTTTTTATTTATTTAAATTGTATAAATATAAAGAAAAATAAGGTTATAATTTTTTGATTCTGAAATATTTTTGTTAGCAGTATACAATTATATGATATTTTTAGTTAGAAAATAGAATTTATTGAAATTTAAATTGTACAATAAAAATAAAAAAGTGAACATTTTTATCATACTACTAGATAAATAACATAAATAAATTACAATTAAATTTTAATTTAATTTTAATTTTTTTAAATTAAATAAATACATAAAATATTAAATTGCATGTAAATAAAACGGGTTACATATTTTTATATTATTTATTAGTATATTATATTGCATGTAAAAAAGTACTTAGTTTTCGATAATTTGTATTAAGATAATATTAAATATGTTTTCTAATGAATTTAAGATAACGTCATACTCATGTGTACGCAAAACAAAAACATTTTAATTTTAGAAACCTCTTCCGTTGTTTATTTTTTTAACATTTAAGTGAATTGAAATACTATTATTAAGTTTAAAGGTAAAATGTTGTCTAGGACCAACCTTTGTATTTTTATGTACTTATAAATTTTTAAATTTTGAAGTAAGTTATGACGATATTAAAATTGTAAATTTTTAAATAATTATAACTTTAAAGTTAAATTAAAGAAAATCCAAATTATAGCTTAGGTAATGTTCTTATATTTAAATTTAATATTGGATCAATTAATTATAATATTTAAAACATCATAGTAAAATTTATTATTTATATCTTAAAATTGGCTATTTTAATCATGTGCAAGAAAGGGACAAAGTTTATGGATATAGCGTCCAAAAATAATGTGTACATAAGTGATTAGTAAGTAATAAATAATTTAATAACTTGTTATATATAGTATATAAATATTAATCAATTTTTATGCAATAATTGTGATAGAAGTGTAATAAGCTGAGAACTAATATGTTTTATACGAATGTATCCTTAATACATCAGGATTTGTTCTAAATTCTTCGCCGTTGGGTAAA